CTTGGTGGCCGTCTACCCCCGGGGCGTTAGAAGGAAGCATCTCAAAGACCACCTGCTTGACCTCATCGTCCAAAGACTGGAGCTTCCAACAATCTTGCGTCATTCTCATTTAAACCCGAAAAATTCCTGTGGATTTCATAATTGCTATAGTCAGATCATCCACTAGTAGATTCTGCAGGGTAACGACATCCAAGCATCAAACACCATTATCGAGACGCAAGGCAGTAATTGAATTTGACCTCCTCCGACCAAGCATGGAAGAATCTTGTGTTTCTATCCCCACTTTGAAACCATTCACACCTCGATTCTTCCTCAAGACCATTTTCAAAAATGAAGTCGTTGAAACCCCTACTCACACCATCTCTGCTCCGAGCACTCCCAGTTCTCTCCTCGGAACTCAATGGTGCATTAAAATCCCCACCAATAAGCCACGGCACCAACCCGCCAGGATTAAGATTATACAACTGAGGCCACAAAGTATTACGAATAATAGCCTGGGGACTAGCATAAACAATAGTAAGGAACACCGGAACCACAAGCCTCGGGGACTTCACTAAAACATGGATAAATATTTCCAAAGGAGCCAAAGACCGCCACTGAACCCATGAACTTCAATGCGGAACGAGTTTGAAAACCTCAATCGATGAATTACCTCATCTGCTCTTCTACCACTCACTCTTGTTTCAAAGAGGCCCACCACCGAAGGACTGAATTCTTTAGCAAAACATCTTAAATACCAACGGAAAGAAGGGCTTGCAGTCCTCAGACAATTCCAAAACATGCAACTAATCATAATACCGAAACCAAGAGGAAAAGAGTTAAGCAATCTCACCCGAGGAAAGATGTGAACTCTCCCCATCGGTAGTCCTAGATTCATCTGCCTCCCTCGACAATGCCTCATCCATACCAACATTCATTCCATGAACAGACGTGACTTCCTCAAGCAACTTCGAAGCCGAGGTAACCGATTCACTCAACAAAGGATGCCCATGAGCTTTATGGGTAAGTTGTTTCTTCACCTTTAAACTTTTCTTATTCAAAATCTTTGCAATCGACAAAAAACCCTGCTTTGGCGAAGCCCCCTTCCCCCTTTTATCTGAGCGAGTATTAAGTAATCCATCTTCAATGGATACCGCTAAATGATTTCCTCCCGTAGCTTTCCGCGACTGAATTTTAATTGTATGATTCTCGCTAGCAGACAATGGAGCGAATTGCACCATGCTGTTCCCCCACTTAAGTTCGGCAATGCTATAGTTGGATTCAATACGGTAGGCTCACATCTCTCACACAGAGGTTTTCTTGCTGCAGCTTCTTTAATGACCACCTCTACTCCGTTCAATGAGCGTCCCGTTCCACCATTTTTTTGTCCGACGACAAAGCCACCACTTTCCCTTTATTCTGATTGCTTTCAACCGACCTCATCTCAGTGTTCGCCTGCACTCCACGATTCGCAGTTTTCAGATCCGCATTGTCAACATTTGGTACTGGCTCGTCTTGGGCAAGGATCCTAAACCTAGAAGAAGTTTTGACCCTCGAAGTGTCAGTTTCTCCGTCAACTTTCTCCTTGGCTTGTCGCGGCCTCCGTTTACGATTTGTAGCCACCATTCAATGACCAAAAAGGTCCTGACTTCGTTTTGTTAACTCAGGCGGCTGTGCCGTGGCTTCATGGACAGTGTCTGCAATGTTAGAAACACCCTTCTGTCGCTTGTCACACATCTCCTTCGAGTGCCCATACCTTCCACAGTGAAAACAGATCTGCGGTAGCGCCTTATATTCCAATCTTTGAACGAACCCATTTTCCCCAACATTCGTGTTGTAGTCTATTTTGATGACCTTCCCAATTTTCGAAGCGATCATACAAAATAATGACTTAGAATAGTATCTATATGAGAGGCCAGGAAGGCGAACCCATACAATAACTTGGGATAGATAATCATCAGTGTTGAAATTTCGACTCCACGACTGCATGGTCAAATAACTCCCGATGATCATTCACGACCCTTCTATCAACGCTTTCTTGTAATCATATTCCTTCTCAAACCGAACGAGATAATAATCATTCTCAAGGTCTACTAATTGAACCCTACCCTGCGGTTCAAAAGTGACATGATCTTATTCCAAAGGACTATATAGCCAATCTTCCTCCCCAAAAGCCGAACTATTAACGTTTTCTTCATATTCCAATCGATGGCATCATTTACTCGATCAGAAAAGTTGGGCAACTTTGTTCCTTATCAGCCACTCCAGCATCAGTATCTCTAATATCCACCATCATTACTTCCTTCGCCGTCCACAGATTGTCTCCCACACCCAATCGTGCATTCGCGAAACATCCCCAGCATATTCGACTTCCCCTTCGTTTCGGATATTCTTATTAGGCCTAGGGCTCTCCATCGGAATCGGGGATCCCGACCTCTCAAGGACCACCGGAGATAGGCCGACGACACGTCAAAATTCATGCAGAAACCCTAGGCGATAATGAAACCCTAGTTCCTAGAAAATCAGAATTCCCACTTCACAAAAGTATTAGTATTATTTTAATAATCATTTTAAAAAAAATTAGGGATTATTTAGAAAAAGAAAAGTTTTGATGAATAATTAGCACTCCTTATTTTTCTCTAAAAATATTTTACAGATTATATCGAGTATCTCTCTAAGCTTCTCAAACTTCAATTTACTCAAAATTTTCGTAGATATATCTACAACTTACTCATCAATTTTTCTTGACACAATTTTGATCTCTCATTTAAGAATCTTCTCAAGAATATAACGATAATGCATTTCTATATTTGTTGTCCTTTTAAGAAAGATCAGATTCTCCGCTAGATGTTGATAAATTATCACATAGGTGTACGAGTAAGTAAAACTCGATTCAATTCGAAAAATTATCGAGTTGATTTTTAAGTTCGAGTCGAATTAGAATTTGAAAATTTTGGTTCACTTTTAAAAAGCTGAAAATTTTGATAGTTTTGCAATTTAGTCTCTAATTTTTTTTATTCTTCAATTCCCCCTTCATTTAATTTTTTTATACAAAATTTGAACTACATGCTCTTAAATCATTTCGAAATATCTATGTATCTTCAATTCTTCTTTTTGATAATAATTTTTCTATTTTTCTTAATTTAATCCCTCAACTTTGTATGATTTCATTATTCTTTCAATTTCTCGTTTATTTTAAGTTTATTTTTATCAAATTTAAACCACATGCTCCTAAACCATTTTTACCTATTTCAATTTCTATTTTTGATAGAATAAGTTTTAATCTTTCAATTTAATCCCTAACAGTTTTAATTTTTCAATTTAATCCCTCAAATTTGCATGATTTCTTTATTTCTTCAATTATTTGTTCATTTTAAATCTATTTTTTTATTAAATTTGAATCAAATGCTACTAAACCATTTTAAAATAATTATGTACGTACCTTCATTTTTTATTATAATATTTTTATTTTTAAATTTAATCCTTTAACTTTACATGATTTTCTCTTTTCTTCATTTAATCCTTCATTTTAAGTTCATTTTTAATCAAATTTGAAGCACATGCTCTTATACCATTATACAATACCTATTAACTTTACTCTTTTTTTTTTTTCAGTTTAATCTATTAACTTTGTGTTTTTGTTTAATTTGGTCTTTTGACTCTTCTTTTAGGACATCCTCTTCAAAAGATAATATTATAAATATATTTTATAATTTTAGATTGTATTTGACTTATTAAATAATATTACAACGTGAAAATAATATGAAAACACACATATATATATATATATATATATATGTGTGTATATCTTATATGATTAGAGAAAGTCGATAAATCGAAATAAGTTCATACCCTAATATTATAAATAATTGCAAATAAATTTTTATATAATTCGAACAACTCAATTCGGCTCGAAAAAATTTCAAAAGTTTAAGTTATAAAATCAGACTGATCAACGAGAGTAATGTAAATCTTTTCGACTCAACTCGATCAAATATTCACTCCTCATAATCTAGTGAGAATAATTCATGATATAATTTCTATTGAGAGCATTATCAGGCTATTTAACAATTAGCCCTTTGATTTTTACCCTTTTCGTCTGATTTTAACTCCTTGAAGACGCTGAGCTTAACCTAAGAAGTGAAAACAAAGAATGCGAAATTTACTTCAGGTAACCTCATTCATGCATTTATTTAATCTTTACTATTAATCCTCTTTGTAAAATTGGGACTCTGGCCTTGTCACTTCTTCATGCAAATTATATTTTCTGATGTCATTTTTATGTTTATGTTTGAGTTTCATGATGTCAATTCTTCCAGAAATACAATGCGACTCATCACTACGTTCAACATGTATAGCTGATAGAAAAACGAAAATCTTTTGATGGTTTTTTTTTTTTTTTTTACATTTTCATTTCTGCAGAAGTGGATTTGTTGATCATTTCTACTGCATTATACTTGGATTTGTTGGACATTCATCTGTTTGGTTATTGAGGAATGAAAAAAAACACAGATAGAGAGAAAAAGATAAGTAATCCGATTGCTTTCTTTTGTGTGTTGTCCAGTTTTTTTTATCAGAATTCTGTAAAATAAGTGTTTCTTTATTAACTAAAGTACATTTCTTTTTTCTTTTCTTATTCGAATTACTGCATTTTTGGATTTTACATGTTTAAAACATGTTTAGTTGATAAAACAGAAAAAAAGGGTAAAAGAAACTGTAGAACAATTTGGCACTGCATTGGGAAAACGGTTCTGCATTGCTTCTAGGTTTTGAATTCTGCATTTACTAGTACAATCACATCTGCCACCAGAAAGAATGATCCTAAATCATACTTGTTTTTTTCTTGATTACTTGATTGTTATTTGAATGTTTTCATTTGAATATCTCTAAGTAGGGCCATCAAGAAATTAGTCTTTTGAATGTTGATATAATTTATAATTCAATTACCTTATTTGCTAGATTGCCTTTCAAACTGCGTCGTGGATCATGTGACCACAGTAGTGTTTCTCATGTGATCCTGAATGCGGACTGAGATGAACTGCCGTTTCGACCTCGTAAGTCGTAAGGTACGAGTTGTCCGTTACATTGTTGTTAATGATTTCAATACAACAAAACAGATTAGGTGGTATCGAGATAGAATTGCAAATCTGGCAAGTCTATCATCACTTTTATAAAGTTTAGCTGGCCTGCTAAATTAGTCGTTCTCTGCTCGGTTTTTTAGTATTTCTTTCCCAACCATATTTGTTTTCTTCCAATATCATATCTGTTTATCAAAATTTTGATATCTTTTCCTTTTCCTCTCTTTGTGAAGGATATATCAGAATGAAAGGAATTGCCCGTGCTTCAGTTTATGAAGATGAAGCTCTCAAAGAGCTGCTTGATGCTTTTGGTGAGACGTTTTCTCTTGAGGACATTGCTTCTGCTTATTACGAAGCAAAAGGGAATGTCAATGTTACTGGCGACATTCTCTATGCAAGAAACCATGGAAGTACTACAAGAGAAACAACCAATGCGCATGAAAATAAGTCTGTTGGTGCCAGTACAACATCTTCAGAAAATACATCTATCAATCTCAATATCGGAGCATATAAGTCAAAACGATGTTCTGTATCAACAGGAAGTGTTGCTGGTGTGATAGGAAAAAACTACGTTAAACCAAGGTCATCAAGAACAGACTGTTCTGATACTACCAAACCGGTGGAAATAGATTCAAAGAAATTGCCCGAATCTGTGATATGGAGTGAAGAAGATCCATCAAATAGGACAACTAGAAATGGAACCACAAATGGTGATCTTGAGAAATTTTTGTTTCAGATGCTAGGAGATGGATTTCAACTTGACAAATCCGTAATTCAAGAAGTACTTGGTAAATCCATTACCTCATTTAGTCTTCGAGTTGTTTACTGTTCTCATCATGCAAATTGCTATCTTTAAATGGAGGCATAGGTTCATTTCTGACCGTATTGGATCTTATAAGACTTTGCTTTCTTATAACTGCATTGACATTATAAATGGATTGAATGTAGGCAGAGGACAGTATCTGATTTTGTTTTAAACTTCCTTTTGCTCCAAGCTTTTTTCCCTTCTAGTCTGATCATCATTTTTGTGATCCTTGACTTGGAATTTTGTGATTCCAAGATTTTGTTATACATGAGTTTCTTCTTCATTCTTTATATGCTTATATATCAGTAATTTGTTCATTTTATTACATCTTTGATTGTGTGAGTTTATCCTAGGCCTTTTCTACCTCCTTTGGTTTCTTTATGTTTTCCATCTTGGAAGTGATAGTTTTTAGCCTAAAAAACAATGCTGTCAGTTTAAGATTCTCTCTCTTTAGTAGGATACAAGATTGTAACTAATATATATTATGTCTATTGTTGCTACTATTTGAGTTCATAATATGCTTAATCGCCATTCGTTTGTTTTGCAGATTGTTGCGGGTTTGATGTGGACAAGGTGAAGTGCTTATGCCCTTTGAGCTTGAATTTTGAACGCGTTTAATGAATTTTTTGTTCAGTTTCAGTTCTATCAGATAACATATATTTTTTTTAACTTACAAGCATTTAGATTATCTGTTCATAGCATGTACTTTTTCTTTTCTTTTCTTTCTTTTTTCCTGAGAGATCAGATTTTGTGATGATCATAACTTAAACTCTCGATGTTGGTTGGTCATTTGAAGAGAAAGAACATTAAACGTTTTCCTATTACAGCCTCTATGTTGCATTCATTTTAACATCTTCCTGTTGATCTATAATCAATTTATCATCCCAACCTCAGTTGATAACTTTAATTTGTTTTATTGCTCATATAGAGCATGGACAAACTGCACGATATGTCAGCTTCAACTCTAGAGAAATCTGATGATGTTATTGGTATCACTGCCGAAAAGGTGAGGCCGAGTTTAGTCCATCTCTGTACATAATAATTTTATGGTTTCTAGCAGAAACCACTATCAACTTCTCAAAATTTAGATGATAGTACTGGATCTTTTTACAATTGAATTGCACAAGTGTTAATATTTCCAGTTATGTGTGTCATATATCATTTTAATCCCTTCAGTTTATAATATTTATTACCTGTCTGAAAGTTACATGTTTCTTTACTCATCTTTTCACCACAATTCTTTATACAGTTCACGGGGAGATGTTTGGAGAACCAATCCTTTTTAATCCAAGGCAAACCGCAATCCAAAGATTTTTCTCAAAGGTATATTTCCAATTTGATTTTGTTGTTGTTGTTGGACTTCTAAATTCTTTGAAACAACGATGTTTTCGAGGAAGGCTGCCATAGATTGTTTCTTATCTTCAATTGTGCTACTGTTATTCTTTGCACCTTACTGCATCTATGATAAGAAATCCTAAAAGATCTCCAAGAGGAAACAAAGACAAAGCCACTCAAGAGAAAGAAATCTTAGAAGCCTTGTTCACTGTTACTGAAAGATCCGAGGAAGCGACGAAAAGAAATCGTGTAGTTAGTGAGGTGAGGAGATCAAAGGCACTAGGTGAATTGGTGACTGAACCTCTCGAGGACAAAGATACAAGCCTTACAAAAAATGTTGTAGAAATGCTGAAAGTTTCAAAAGATGGTAAAGATTTTTATATATGCTTTTCATATTGTGATAGTGTTGTTACTCTCGTGGCTGCATGATAGACATTCACACACTTCAATCCACTGAACATTGCAGACTAATTTTATGATTTTCTTTCATTTCTGCTATTCCTATAACGACTTTTCTGATCATCATAACCTTCTTGTTTTTGGTTTCTTCTACAGTGGAAGATCGACACAACGACAATGAGAATAGCTACGATGACTTACGTCAAGCTGTGAAGGAGTATTGGGTGACTATGAAAGAATACTATAAAGCTGTAAGTTGTTTAATCTGAAAAAAGTTGTAAGATATAATCGATAAATATTTTTCTACAAACTTTTCATTGAACTAGTTTTAGAAATGCAAGTCTAAAGTTGGTAAATAATGATCATTAGGTTGCTTTAGTTTTAAAGATATATGGTGAGGCCATCTAATAAGTTTCACGATTCCTTTTCTTTTGAAACATCTCAAGAACTTGCTCTGCATTCAGCCTATTTTGTAGAATTACACTGTCAATGCTTCTATTGAGTGATTTTTAAAATGAAACGTGTGATTAGTGATTTTGAAAATGGTGTCACAAAGTTTGAATTCAGTTGCGCAGATGATGAAATTATGTCTCTTGATTTGCATAACTTCAAACCCAAGGAAGCTCGTAATCTTCTCCAAATCCATTTAGCTTCTGTTTCCGGCATCCCTAGTAAGCTACCACTCTCTTCTATCCTTAAATCTTTGCATTTTACTAGTAAACTACAATAACTTTTATTTACTCATCTTGAGGTCATGACACAGTACTTTGTATTTCACTAGTAAACTACCATAACTCCTTATTTACTCATCTTGACACAGCTATTCAGTATTTAAGGATTATAGTGGGAACCATGGAAGAAGATACTAAAACGGAAGCTCGAAGACGATTGGTACGACTGCTTGTTTCAAACTATTATTTATTGAAGTTAGAATATATTTTTGAACTCCAAAACAAGTGTCCCAGTCTTTCTATTAGTTTCTCAAAAGAAGGCTTAACTTGTATGATTGTGTTAAGCATCTCAACTGAACTCTTGACATGGTTAAGCAATTTCTGAAATCTTATGCATTGCAAGCTAACTTGAGTTTAATAATCATATAGATAATGCAAATGATTTATTTGTTTTATAAGTTAAACGCTTAAAAATGTTCTTTCATAGATTATGAAAGCAATTTTCTATATATATTTTTTATGAGTTAATGCTTGAAAAATGTTATTTTTGCAGATTATGAAACAGCTAGAGAAGGAATCGATTAAATGGAACGAAGAAGAGAATGACAGAATAATATCGATTCGAGTTGATGTAATCGACCCAAAAAAACTGAGTTTCGCAAAGGAAAATAAGAAAATGGGGGATCCTTCCAACTAAAAAGGTTAAATAATTTAGAGCACTACAGCCATAACCTAGTGCAGATGCTGGTTTTGCACATAATATGGTTATATATATTGCTCACACCAAAACCTTGTGGTAATGGCTATCAAATTTATACAACGTTTTAAAAGATTTATCCATGGAGAAACCAGATGTTGAAATGATAATGAGAACCATATGTAATAATTTATTAATCATTGACTTTATAATTTAATTTAAAACATGTAAAAGAGTAGGAATTTTACCTAGCAAGATGGAGGGAAGGAATAATCAGTCATCCATGAGCACAAATCGGGCTACACGATCTCTGTACATGACTCATTTCCATGCTATGCTAGAGATTATATTCCATGAGAGTTCGCTCTAACAGATCATCCGGCTCTATTCCGTCTATGACCATTTGTTCGCATAACAACTTGGCCTCAACTAATCTACCCACTTTGCAATAACCACGGATCAGAATCGAATATGCAACAACGTCAGGCAGTAAATGTCTATCTAGAGCACATCGGAATGCGAATGATGCTTCCAACATTAATCCTTGCTTGCAAAGGCCATCAATGAGTATGCTATAACTAACATTATTCAGAGAGATTTTGTTTTCGAGCATCTCTTCGTGAAGCTCAGAGGCAGTCCTCATGTCCTGTGATTTGAAGTTGCCGTCAATTAGACAACCGTATGTTACCACATTGGGTTCAGGACCCTTCTCCGACATTTTGGAAAACATCAGCATAGCTTCATCCATTCTACCCTCCTTGCAGAAAGCAATCAATCAATATAGTAAAAGTAATTGAATTGGGTCTTAGTGAGGGAGAGGTCAGCTGTTTAAAAAGGCTAACAGCGGTATCCAATCTTCGCAATGAGAAGTAACCACATATCATCGTGTTGTATGTTATAATATCGGGTTTTGGCCCTTTCTTAAAAGTTGCTAGAACAGCGGTGACGCCTCTGCCAAATAACATTCCTTGAGAAGCATATTGAGGAGAACATTATATACAGCAATATCAGCTGCTACTCCATTCCTTTGCATCACTATAAATATCTGCAATCCAGTAGTTGGAATTTTATATTTGCAGAATCCATCCATGAGGTTACAGTACATTGTAGCGTCTCCAAGAAAACCCCTCTTCAGCATTTGGAAAAAAATTAACCGACCATCATCCAATTTTCCTTGCTTAGTAGCACCTCTAACAAGCAAAGTGTAGGTCACTATATCTGGTTGTATGCTATACATTCCCATTAACATGTATACCTTCAGGGAATTCCTTAACTGTTTCAACCTACAAGAACCATCCATCAAGGAATTAAAAATGAAGATATTCAGTTTTAGACCCCTGCTTACATGGTTAAAGAAGAACATGAGAGCAGTTCTAATCATCCCTTCTTTGCAGAGGCCATCTAACAACACATTATAAACGACATCCGGTTGATGGACCTTCTCCACCATATCATCAAATAGATGAAAACCATCCTTCAAATTTCCCATCTTGCAAAAGCCATCGATGAGGCTTGTATAGGTTATGAGAGATGGCTCAAAGCCCCTCTTGATAATTTGACCGAAAATGCCACAAGCTTTGAGAATCCTACCATTTCCACACAATCCACTTATGAGGATGCTGTAACTCACCATGTTAGGTGATAAACCTTCCTCCAACATTCTCTTATAAAGCTGAACCACTCTTTCCAAGTTCCCTACCTCCCCAAACGCGTCCATAACCAAGCTGAAAACAACTACATCCAAATTGACACCTCGATCTAAAGCGTCGGAGAGAAGCTTCTCCCCCTCATCCAATCTCCCTTCCTTGAAATAACCATCAATAAGGAAGAATACAGAATTAAATCTGGTACTACATTCCTCTGTATCATAACTTTGTAAAGCTCAAATGCTGTATCATATCAAACAACTTGGTATCAGTTCCTATTTCCTTATTTGCAGCTAGACCCTTCAAAATCTTGTTACAAGCAACAATGTCAATCTCTAAACCACTCGAAACCGTCCTCAAATGAAAAGTCTAGGCCTTCCCAACCCCCTTCAAAAACCCTTCCATCACAATCCCATAAGCACAATAACCTCGTCTTCTAAGAAATCTACAAAACTCGCCATTGTTCTTAACAATTACATCGACACAATTCGCATTAAGCAAAGACTCCTACACCCTATGAACCAAATTGTTCGAGATGCAAAGACCCTCTTTAGCCATTTTCATGAACACGTGAAAAGCCATATCCACCACCACCATCTCTTTCTCACCGTAGTTTTCAAACAAAAATCGAAAAACGACATCTGGGTTCGAGCCAAAATCGCTAAAACCTTCACTAAAAACTTCAAGAACATCGATATTTGCACCAGAATGATTTACCATTTCATCGAACACCTGGGCCGCGACACCAAACACTCCATGGCGGGGCAGGAGGTGAATGAGGGCAGAGGAGGAGGGTAAGGCATGGGGAGAGTTCGAGAAACTTTGGGTCCATTTGACAAAGTTGAAAGCAGAAGTGGGTTTTAATTTGAGGATCAAAAGCACGGGTTTGATCAAAATCTTTGAAGACAACATTTGATTGGAACTTCCATCTGAGTTTTTTTTTTTTTTTTTTTTGAAAAATTATAGTTTTTGTTGCAATTATCACTTAAAGTTTGGTAGTTCAGTTGGTTGCTCTGTTTTCGCTTTAAGCTTCACGGCGTTTTGAAGGTACACTCGTCATTCCATGATTAGGTTAATCCCATAACTAAAAGGGTAAACCACCAGTTTACCCACTTAACTTTTACTGTGTTTCTTTTTCGTTCATCCAATTATAAAAAATATTATTCGGTCATTAAACTTTTAAATTATGTACATTTAAATCACTCAAACAATGAATGCATCACCAAAATGTCACGTTCTGAAATCTTTCAATCGATCTAATAATTTAATTTTTTTCATTTTCATTGGTGCACAATCCTTTTCATCATCCATCAATCATCTTTGGTTGTCATTTTTAACCTAAATGACACTGTTTTGCTTTTCAAATTAGCAAAATTCAAACTAAAGCCTTAATGTTATATATTAGTGCTCAACTTTCAACTTAAAATGCGTAGATGTTTGGTGAAAGCATCACTTCATGGGTTAAAAGGGAAGAAATTTGGGGTCAACAGATCAACTTGACAAATGACATTATCACCGGCTAAAATATTTTCACAATAGGAATCAAATCTGTAGGCTTCATGTTCATAGTCATGTTTTCACACTGATTTCAATTATATAGGGTACGTGCAAATCTTCTATTTTGACATTTGGGTAACTTTATTATAATATATTTCTCCAACTTAATATAACGATGTTTTTTAGTAGCATTTTTTTATACTCCAAAGGTCTTTTTCACGGAAATTATTCTTAATCTGGAGTTGGGGATAACTTACTATCTTACCTCCCCTTACCTCATTATATATAAGAATAAGATTTTGTTGTTGTTGTTGTTTTTATACTCCCAAAGGTGTTCCCGCGTATTTTGCTTGTGCTTAATGATTCTCGATTTTACTTAAAAACATATAAGAAATGGTTCTAAGCAGATTTATTTATGTGTTTCATCACGCCATGTGTCAGAATTTCTTGTTCTTTTTTATTATGCGCCAGTAATTTTTTATATTATTAGTGAACATAACACACATAGATATGGTAAGTCTTACTTGGGATACTCCTAATTAGGGATGGATATGGGTTGGGTCGAATTTTTTGTCTACCCGACTCGATCCGAGAATAAAAAATCCTCCACTCGAGATCCGACCCGACCAAAACAATATTCCACCCGACCCGATATGTAATTTAAAAACCCAACCCGACCCGACTCGAAATAATAAAAATATTATTTTTATTCAATAAAAACAGTGACTTAATTGAAAAAAAAATATATATAAAGGGGTATTATTGTCATTATTCCTAAAATATATAATGTAAAATTATATATTTTTTCGGGTCGGATATTTTTCACCCTAAACCCGACCCGAACCCGATTTTTTTATAAAAAAAACGACTCTACGGGTTGGGTCGGAACCCGTCGGTTCGAGTCTCATGCCCATCCCTACTCCTAATTAGGTTGAGGAATCAAACCGTTTTCTAGAAAATAAAGTCCCGAATGACACTCATCTTGCATCTTAAGCAATCCCTCTCCCTAATAAAAGATTAAACAAAAATTAAATCGAGGTAGGTCATTGCTGGTGTGTATGTAAAGGGAAACATTATTAGTAATAAATATTGTATGTCAAGTGAAATAAAGACTTTGTTTCGTGCTGAAGGGGTCAGCTCAACTGTAGGAAATGGTCTTAAATTGGATAACTCTTTTTCCACCATGGAAAATGCTATTATGCATGAAAAGATAGAACAATGGCAAGTGAATTCCTCATAAATTTTCCAATAATTTCTTCTTCTTCTTTTCATCTTTTTGCGACTATACAAGCTAAAGTTCAATCCTTCTCAAAACAATAGAAGACAAAGAATGATGCAACAAAGAAGAAACATGGATACTCTACTAAGAGATTTTTCAACCTTGACCTCTTGCCTTCTCATCCTATGACTATTGTTCCTTGGAAAATGGTAAGGAGCCTGGTTTGGATAAGCAAGCATGCTTGTGTTTGAGCTCCCGAACATTCTAGCACACACCATTTCTCCCAACATTCCGATCGTCGGATGGAACGGATTCGTCGTAGGTATACCGCCGAGGTCGGACGATGCCGAGGTCTCGTATCCTCCGTGAGGTTGAGGTAAGTATTGCTGGTGATTTAGATGCAAAGAAGTGGTCGTGATGTTCGATGTAGGAGGAGGTGGTCTTTGGGGAATGACCATATCTGGATGGGGATCCTTGGAATGCGACTGCGAAGATGTGCCGTGACTGTAGAGGGGAACCAGTGAACCGGAAGAGATGGTCGCCTTGCACACGGGACAGCTCTTCTGTTGCGGACCTGAATCGAGGGAAGAAGCTCGGACGTTAAGCCACTTGTAAATGCATGGCCAGCAGTACAAGTGACCACAGAGGGTGACTACAGGGTCTTTTGCAGACTCGAAGCAAATGCTGCAATCGAAGCAGCCCGAATCTTTTTCGAGGTCTTCTGTTGGTTCTGGTATAGAATTCCATTTGTGCTTGAGTGAAACATCTCCATAAGACTCAAAGAAGTTTGGTTCCATAGCCATTCTGGAAGATGCAAACAGATTAGAACCCATATCAAATAATAAAGACAGGATCATTTCAAATGTTTTCGAAAATTCATCGTAACACAAAATCATACTAGATACTGCATGATTTCTTATTTTAAATTCCAGAAATCAAATAGATAGCATAAAACATTCTAAGCTATAATAAACCAAATCGCTTTCCTCTCTATTCCCATTCCTTCCCTCTTCTTCTTCTTCTTCTTCCAAGAATAAATTTATCTCCAAAATATTCAATAAATTCAAGAATCAGGAACCCAAACTGGAAAGGAAGAATCCATCCTCTACCATTATGCACACAGATGAAAAATCACCCCAAACCACCAAAACAAGGTCAAACAAATCCACCCCAAAAGGGGAAAAAGGATAGAACTTGAGACATAGATAGAGATAGAACTTACCGGTAAAGAGGAAGCCGAAACAGACCGAGAAGAAAACAGGGTTTCAACTCTTTGATAAAAAAACTGAATTTCCAAGCTTGCTTTCTTGTTTCCTTCGTGTAAATTTAGGATCTTGATGAGATGATTTTAATGGGGAATTGAAGAGAAGGAAGAAAGATTAATATTTATAGAGGAGGAGAAGGAAGTACACGTGGCCTTTTCTTAACTTTTTTCAGTGGGTGAAAACTAAGAAACAGCTGCGGCCTGCGGAGTACACCATTGTTTTCTGTTGGACCTACAGAAGCAGTCATCTGTTTTCCTCTTCCTTCATTATTTATTTTATTTTTAAAAGAAAAATCAGTTAAATTAGATAATGGGTTTTATGGTAAGTGAAGATAAGGTCAGGAGTTTGAGTTGGAATTTAAGAAAAATTTTAAATTATAATAAAAGATATCAGTACAGAATTTATAATAAACAAAATTCTAAGATTTTATGTAGTAGAATAAAATATTGTTGTAACGAACATCTAGAAGAATGTGACAACCTATAAAAATAAAGAATTCGATAAAACGTTATCTAAAATATTATTTTTTCTACCGAAAATATTAATATTGAATACTTTACCAGAAATGATAAAAACGTTAATGTTTTTGGTAAAAATAATAATGTTGTAGGTAATTTTTTTACCAAAAATATTAAAAAAATAATAACATTTCTGGTAGCGTCTTTCCTTAGCCGTATATTAAGGATGTCGTATGACAGAATTACTCGAGCCCGGGGGAGTCTCACGTGCGGCAACCTAATATATGGCTAAGGAAATGTGCTACCAAATTATTTTTTTAACATTTCCTGTAAAAAATTATCTAAAACATTATTATTTTTACCGAAAATATTATTATTGGACATTTTACCAGAAATGTTTAACATATACGGTAAAACATTACCTAAAATATTATTTTTTCTACCGGAAATATTAATATTGGACACTTTACCAGAAATGTTAAAAAACATTAATGTTTTAGGTAAAAATAATAGTGTTTTAGATAATTTTTTACCCAAAATATTAAAAAAATATTAACATTTCTGATAGCACATTTTATTAGTCGTATATTAAGGTTGTCGTACGATAGAATTACCCTAATAAATTCCTTTTCTTAACCGTATATTAAGACTATCGTACGACATAATTACTAGACTTTTTTTAGCATTACATATTTATATCGGTAAATTTTATTATTTCCATAAAGCAATCTCGAGTTACAGTAAAACACATGTTTATAAATACAGAAGTAACTGAAAGCATTTCTTATTAATATAAAATAATATATATTTATATTTTTTAATTATTGATAACGTATGTCTTACGACGTAATTTAAATTTTAAAAATCAATTCGTTTTGGTTTTTGATAAGTTGAAGCAGACAAAAAACGAAGTAGATAGTTCTGCCGAACAACAACTTAATATACAGTTAAAAAAATGTGTTACCAAAAATATTATTGTTTTTTAATATTTTCGGTAAAATATTATCTAAAATATTATTTTTTTTACCGAAAATATTAATTTCGTTATCTAATTTCTGATAGAAAAACTTGTAAAAAATAATATTTTAAGTAGCGTCCAATATTAATATTTCCGGTAGAAAAAATAATGTTTTAGTTAGCACGTCACTAGAAATATTAAAAAATCAATAATATTTTCGATAACATCTTTCCTTAGCAGTATATTAGACTGTCGTACGGAATATATCCCCGAAGTTTGCCTAAGCTGTTGTGTTTCCTTCTTGCTCAGCACCTGCCTAATTAAGCCGTTGAATCTCTAGAAATTCTCAGCACCATCATTTTCAATTCTGAGGAATCTTTGAAGTTCTAGATATTTTGAAACTTCATGTTTAATTCTTGTTTTTCTTTAGGGTAAATTGCACCTTTAAACATCAGATTTCATAGCGGTTTGATGTTCAACTTTAAAACGTTTCAAGGTATGATTTTGATTTCAGGTTTAATTAAAATATTAAACAGTTGAATCGTTAACGACATAACAAAATGATCATTCATTTTATATTTTTGGACGTAAAATCATTCATTCCTTTAATTGTTGTTATCGATCAATAATCACCTATCTACGTCGTCATTCCTAATAAGATTACCAGTGGGAATGTAAGATTACCAGGGAATATGATTAATGGGAATGTTGTATTTTGTGTTTGGTTGATTTAGCAGGAATGTAAGATTACCGTATTTGGTTAAAGGAATAAAAGATTATTAGAATATTTTTTTTTAAAATGATACTTTGTATTAATGAAATTACAAAATAAATACTTCAAGGGTCTCATTAAAAAACCTCCCTAAACCTAATCGAAAGAAAAAAAAAATGCACCCTATAAGGGAATGAATACAAATAGCAGGCCGGAAAATAACACAATTAATGAATATCATGACAGTAAACACACCCCATATATCCAGCACAGACCAAGCTTAAAATGAAGATGTACTTTAGCAAAATATACTCTCTAATCAATAGCACTACTACGATACTGAGCCAAACAAAGCAGAATTACATAGCTGCCAACAAGACCCTACGCCTAGTTATAAGCAAATTATTGAAATGTATATTTAATCAAATTGTTCTTATTATAAATTTATTTTTTAACAAATTAAAAAATATTTATATATATTTTTTAAAAAATTTAAATTCATAAATTATATATATATATATATACAAAATTGAAAATATAAAAAATATTTAATTAAATGGTAAAATTTATTTTAACCCCTGAACTTTATATAAAATTTTAATTATAGATTTTTTTTTAAATTTAAAATAGTTTAAGGATAAATTTATAATTTAATCTTCGTAGAATTTTTATTATTCAATGACATAAGAATGATATTTTTTAAAGAATGATATTTTTTAAAGAAAAAAATTTAAGGACATTTTAGTCCAAAATACCGATAATCCAATAATACCTAAGGAAATGAATGTAATATACCCAAAAAAAGCTACTATTGATAATAAAATATTATCGGAAATGAGGTTCCCGACCAACCAAACATGAAAATGTGAATTTCATTCCCATAAAAATCTCACATTTCTTGATCCTAACGCCCTTAAGGGTGCGTTTGGTTCACGGAATGTAAGATTACCAGTGGGAATAAAAGATTACCAGGGAATAGGATTACTGGGAATGTTGTATTTTGTGTTTGGTTGGTTTAGCAGGAATGTAAGATTACCGTGTTTGGTCAAAGGAATAAAAGATTATTGGAATGTATATTTGACCAAATTGTCCTTATTATATATTTGTATAATATTACAAATTGTAAAATATTTATATATTTTCTTTAAAAAATTAAATTCATAATATTTATATAATTTTTTTACAAAATTAAAAATATAAAAAATGTTTAATGAAAGGGTAAAAAAAATTTAACCCCTAAACTTCATATAAAATTTTAATTATAGACTTTTTTTGTAAATCTAAAATAATTTAAGGATAAATTTGTAATTTGACCTTCGTAGAATTTTTATTATTCAATGACAGAAGAAGGATATTTTTGAAAAAAAATAAAAATTTAAGGGCATTTTAGTCCAAAACGCCGGTAATGTTACAATACCTAAGGGAAGGGAGGTAATGACATTCCCGGTAATATACCCCAAAAAATCTACTATTGGTAATAAAACATTACCGGGAATGAGATTCCCAGCCAACCAAACATGGGAATGTGGGATTCCCATCCCATGGGAATCTCACATTCCTTGAACCAAACACCCCCTAAGGGTAAGGATAAGAATCCCAGAACAAAAATGCAAAAAAAATATTTGTATAAAGTAGTATGCCGTGTCACATTGTCACCCACAAATATATGATATTACTTTGACAATTCTCTGATCTTCGAGGTGGATTGATTCTATTCTTTTAAAATATATTTAAAATTTGATTTTAATTTCTCTCCTATTAGGGAGGAGCATAGGTTAAGTTTGGGTCAAGTTTTGGTTAATTTGATCTGATCTAAAAATTTTACATCCTTCACCCGACTCGTTTCGAGTTTTTAAGATAAAATTCGAATTCGATCTGACTCGATTCGAAATAATAAAAAATATTATTTTTATTCAATAAAAACATTGATTTAATTAAAAAATAATATATATAATGGTATTATTGTAATTATTCTTAAATATATAAGGTAAAATTATATTTTTTCGGGTCAGGTTGGGTCGGGTATTTTTCACCCTAAAGCCGAATCCGACCGACCCAAACATCACCTTTAAAAAACTCGACCCGATCCGATTGGATTAGGTCGGGTTGGAACCCTTCGGGTTCGGGTCCCATGCTCATCCCTAGCTCCTACTATGTTTGAAGGAACCTACATGCATACATACATATCATTCACGAATCCATAAATTTAAGAATAGGAGTCCAAAATTTTAATTTTCTTCTTTTAAAAATAATGAGTAAGCAAATTATTTATTTATTTTTATTTTTTTCTTAGCACATTAAGTTAAAATTTTAATCATTTTCTCAAAGTAACGGAGATACACTTAACATCTACTAAGGTTTGTGCATCCGCCCCTTATACATATACACGGTGAGATAATCTGGGGGAATTTACATGCATGCATGCATACGGTGAAATGATAGGGAATTGTCCTGTCCAATGAGGGATGAATCGACGGATAGAACGGTTTTTATCTAAAAATTTAAAATTTCATGTATCTTTTATTAAAAAGTTATTTTTAACGTCTAAAATTTTATAAATTTGTCCCTTCCTCAAACTTTAAATTAAAGTTCATTACCTTAACGTGAAATTATACGTCATTCCCGAGTCCAATAATAAATTAAGATGCATGAGAAGTTTGAGCCATGGAGTACATATTGTTATTAGTTTGAGATTCAATATGTAATGTAGAAAATTCAACACTACAGCGTGATGATAACAATAATAAATATAAGAGATGAGAAAAGAGTTGCAGGATATGAAGCGGCTTCAACATAATGAACACAGACTTCATGTTCAACGCACGTGCCTTGATGTTCTGGAAGATTAAACATTCTCTGAATCTTCTCCACACGAACTTTCTTTCAAAGATAAAGACTCGAGAGAACTCTCTGGATGTAATGACCTCGACATCCCCGAAAAATTATGATCTCTTAACATAATCTCTAACAGATCCATATGACTTACTAAAACTGAATCTATTAAATCTGTTAATTTATAAGTAAACTTTCGTCGGATGTCAATGCTAAGAGTCACTATAAGTTGGTTCACTCTGCTCGTTTATGTTACGCTTCATCTCTTCCGATTTTTTATCATACAATATTCGGACCCCACATTTCTTCACCATAACTCCTTGGGAGCTGCAGATGAAAATAACATGACATATAAAAGAGTAGCAACCCTAATATGTCTTTTCGGCATTGTCACTGCTTTGTTACCCTCAGCCAACTTGAAACAGTTAACAGCACAGATAGATCCATCAACCCTTGAATCGCAATCTGTTGTTGAATCTGCAACTACATACAATGAAGCACAGCCATAACTATCCATAGTTTTATGCCTGCTGGAAGCACAGGCAATGATGTTAAGCTTTTCGCAGTTAGTACTGAACAAGTAAGCTCGGAAAGCCGACTAAGGGCTGTAGGCAAGGTGATGAAATTATTATCCGAAAGTCTAGACATTTTAATGAGGACAAGCTGCAAATGTCATTAGGAATAGACCCATAATTAAGGTTGCAGTCATTTAAATTCAGTTCTTTTAAAGTACTCAAACCCGATAAGCTTAGCAGGTAGCCTCAGAGTCATAGAGTTCGGGCTAACTCTTTCTGTTGCCCTTGATATAAAAGGCCAATATGACCGCCCTCTAGATGGTGGTCCCTTGCATCCTCGAAAAGACAACCACCCCACCACCCTTCATTTTTCATATGAAAGATTTATGGCAGTTTTACTCGAGCCAAGCCTCTCCAAAGATTTTATTAGCTGCAAATTCTCTGGCAAGTTTTGAAGTTTAGAGCAGCCACAGAGATTAAGATCTTTGAGGAATTCACACCCTCCTATGCTGCTTGGGAGACTCCTAAGACTTTTACAGTTCCTTAAATTCAGAACTTTAAGCCTCCTTAGACACTTGATTGTCGGATGAAACTTCGATATTCCAGTATCTTCCAAATCAAACTTTCAAGGTTCGGGGCCATACTAAAGTCCGGTGTATTCAATATGTTTTCAGGGCCTTCGAGGTCGACCAGTTTTAACTTATGCAGAGGCTGTTGAAGAAAACAATATAAAAACGGAGAGTTGAAATGTAATCTTGGTCCTATTTTGTTCTCTGATAACCAAGGGCAAAAGATGAATGAGTTTCACAATATTCAGAGTAATCAACTACACATACAGATATAGATCATAGATGCATGAATTTGTACCCCATATGATCCAATGCAATACCTTGAACAGCTTCAGTAGCCTGAATATCAGAGTAATCAACAAGTAATAAGAAACAAATTTTATGCGTGGATAAGGGTTACGGTTCTATCTATTTACACAGACTTGCAGTGTTTTCAGATAGAACGTAGTAAGTCTGCCATGAAGAAGCATGCAATATCTAAAAATATATCATTCTCTATTTCTTCTAACCCATCAAAACTTATCTGACGTCTGCCATGAATTTCTTGTTTGGATTCCTTTTCAAGTCTTTCTATAGCGCTTCTCCATTGAGCTACATTCGATCTGTTAATGGAAGGCCATTGGCATACTCCAAACCAAGCACGCTTTCCAATCAAACCTTGTAAGTGCTGTTTGTTATCCGCGTCATCAATAACAGCAAGAACCTTCTTATGAGATAAGGTTCGACTTATGATGTCATTCCCTTCATGAACATTAAAAAAATTGAATATTTCCTCTGGAAAAATCTGGGAAAGAAGTTGTTTCTGCTAACAAACAAGTCCTTGTTTCTCCACAACTTCACGAACATCAGCCAAAAAGATTTTGTCTTCAAGATGACTTGAAATTTGGGTATAAAAATATATTGCAATAGTTGTTTTACCTAACCCATCCATGCCAGAAACCCCTATATATAATGCGAACACAATCATCTTCATTCCTTGTGTCTATTTTGGAGTGCAACTTTTCCGAACGTGATTGAACTTCAATTATGTCATTGGGAGCACTTGCGAATGTTCGACATAATTTTGTTGATACCCTTTAACGATTTCTCGAATAAACTCTGATTCGTGTCTTCAAATTCAAAACAAAAAGAAGAAGAAAAAGGAGATGAAAGAAATAACTTAATGGAAACCAGTAAAAGTTTAATAGCACAATCCTTATTAGCCAATGGCCTAATAGGTCTACCAAATAAAAGATTTCATATTAGTCAAGTGAAAGAAGAAGATGGTTACCTGTTATTCAAGTGCCATCCCTTGATGTTAGCTACTTGAGTTAAAGCAGATCACCTTAGTAAAGGCATCTCGAACTTCTCTGGTCTGTTTTCTTAAATCAGATGGATCCACACCATAGAAAATTGGGAAGACTTATGTCCATTGTCGTTTTTCTGTTGAACAATCTCGGAAAGTTCTTTCAGGCACCAACTCGAAAAAGCAAATCCGTCCGACAAAACGATTACAGAGCACCATGACTCTCGAATTGCTTTTAAGAGCGCAGGTGCTGTGGCTTCGCCTGCAGCTAAGAGAGATTCCAGAGAAGCTCTATTCCCCTTCATTATCATCATCTTGATGGTACATTGCAAAAAATAAACAATTAAGGTTTAATAATGTGACATTAATCCTTTTTAAAAATTAATGACTTGATGGTACATTTGACAATATGAAAGTGTTAAAGATTGTTCCCCTAACCTTGGTAATTCTTGACTACTACAATAAAGTGGCCTCAGCAACATGCTAAGAACAATGGGACTACTGTAATGAAAATAAACCCATCCATGTCCCAGAAGAAATGGTAGTCAATAGTAGCTTATCTCAGAACCTTGTATGATAGAACTAAGAAATTGACCTGAACATTGGCACAAATAGACCACCGTTTAAAGCCACGGTTGATTCTCGAATGATTGAAGCAGAAAACCAAAGGCACGGGGGCATTAGAATACGTTTATTCTAGCGACTCCAGAACGAACCACTGGGATGACGACCAAAACCATTGGAATCATTATGTTTATCCTTATGTCTAAAACTTTTCTTCCTAGAATCTTCTCTTTCTTTGTGATTGTTTCTTCATCCCATAACTTTCTTAGATCACCATTTTCTTTTACTTTCTTCTTTCGGTGTCTTTCTTTGGAAGAGGACTTTCTTTTCCTCCCAGAGGATTGAGCACTAACATCTCCAGTGTTTCCATCGCCTCGAGGCAGTGGTTCTTCATCGTCTAATTGCCAATTGCATAAAATTTCCTGCTGCTCTCCGTGAATTGTTTTTAAAGGCTCTCCGGCACCAGGAAGCAAGCTATTAAAAGTGACATCCCCACTAGGTCCTCCTTTGCGCTCAAGTAAAACTGGATCCGGTCTAATTATGGTACCAAGAATGCTTCTATTCGGGCCCAGAGACAAAATGGTCTTCGGATTAGTAAGGGTAGAAGGGGCCATACCGAAAGCCGACTTAATCTGCAAGACAATACACAACATTCTCACTACGAGTATGCCAGTAGGAGCCAAAACTTCAACTCATCTTCGATAGAAGGTAAAATGAAGCCGTCTAAGTTATACCACCAGACAAATACTTGTTTATCACGTAAAAACGGAATATTAATTATGCATTTGGATAAAAGGGGAAGAGGACAGACATGGCTGTAAGGTTTCAACCTTAAAACACAGTGAACTAGAAAGATAAAAATTGTTAAACTGGATATAGTTGAATGAGTTCTTCCCGATGTCATCGTCTGGTGTCTGTTTGTCATAAGGAATAAATTAATAAAAAAAATTAAACAAAAACACACAAACAAGCATAGCTTGGCAGTCAAAGGAAGCATGAATAAAAAGTAGCCAAAATCAAGCCCCCCTGTGGGTCTTCAATGGAGATGAGAAATGGTCGTCCTTCTTTTGAAAACCTAAAGGAGAGTAAAACCAAAAAGCAGGATACACCATTTTAGTCGCCAGTACTTGAGGATGGAAAGTAATAAATTCAGTATGAAGGAAGATTTTTCATTTTACCCTCTTCTATTCTTTAAAAAGAAAGTGCCTCTATCTTTGCAAGACAGACCAACATCCACAGTGTTCAATTTTTGACCATAAAAATCAAAGAAATGTACCTGATTTCGAAAAGAAAAACATTTATAAGAGTTTCCCGTCAACTTGTCTTTTTTGTTCTCTTTTATCACAAAAGGCTCAGAATAAAAGGAGGAGAATAAAGGTTTAGTTTCTCTGCACACATTACACATACCAAGAGCATCCCCAAGTTATGTTCCAGATAAGCTTGAGTTTCACGCAGATTCTGAAGCACAAAAAGGCATAGATAGGTTAGACAACACAAATAAAACAGGAGCAAAAAAGGGTGCTGGAATCCAAGGCCTTATCAAAATCTGAAAATTTTCGCTGCATGTATTTTGTTATTCTAGTAAAATTCTTAAAGCACATGGAATGATTTCATGGGTTCCAGGCAGAAGCAAATGTACATCTTCTAGTTGGTCATACTGAAAAATTTTAACACGCGAATTTTGCTTACCTGCAACATGGCTATGATCATTGCAAGGAGGGCATATGAACCTATTCCGCCAGAATACACCTGCATAGTTTCAAAAACATTGAAAATCAAGCAGAGGAATGACTATTTTTTCCCGAAGAAAAATAACAGTGCTTTAAATAAAGACAAACTCAAACCTCATTCAGGCCTCTCTGCTGTAAAAATACTTTCAAGATCAAACACAAAGGTCGTGATTGAGGCCATTTTTGTATTGCTCCCTAAGAGAAAACACATAAGCAGAACTCTAAATTTAGAAAAATACAAAGGGAAAAAATATAGGAAAAGTCTTAAGTTATGTAACATACCAAAATTATCTAAGGCAGAGCTTTAATTAATCACAGGAAAAAAAATAAAAGTCCAAATTTAGTGGAACATGTGGTAGTCACTAGTCGGACCAAAATGATTTACATAAACTTTAATCAAAGAATCCAGAAGTAGACACAGTAAACAAAAGAAAAGTAAGCAATAATTCCCTTCAGTGAACATAAATCTAGCAGACAATCAAACCCAATACAACCTTTGAGTAAAGTTTCAGCCAAAAATGAAGCTCGACTGAAAAGAAATCCTAAAATGAAAAAGTTGATGGTCCAACATAACTGACCTCATCTGAGAAGAAAAGGGATTAAAATAACTATATCTAAAGCACCACTATAAAAAACTAACACAAATGAAACACCAGAACACAGGAAGGTCGGTAATTGCAACAAACCTTGATAAACTCAGCAGCTTTTGGTCCATTATCCACATCAAAGCTGCAATATTTAACACCCAATTAAATATTAAACTGTGAGACAACTGCCAAATAAAGCATGAAACATAGTCTTTCAATTGCCACTTCAAACCAAGATGGTGATAAAGAACGTTCTTTGGTGAACTTATCACTTATGCTAAATGTCTAGGAACCTAAACATGTCTCCACCCTCATCAAATTCCAAGTGTCCCACCGAATATTGTCAATCAAGAAAATAAGAATCCAAATCAAGTGAATTTTTTGCATGCTTACATAAAAAATGATGACAGATTTCTAGTTCTTGGTTTCTCGACAACCTCATCTTCTTCAAATAAAATAAAATAACTGTTATAGTTCCAGTAGAAAAGAGAGTTATCGAGAGAAAGGTTTCAGAGAAGAGTAAGGAATTCAGGGAATAGAGAATTCATTCATTCATTTCATAAGGAAAATGCCTCAACATACAAGTTTTATTTAGTTACAATCGTAATAAGAATCTAAGGATGCCAGGTGGTTGTCCTTTGCTAACTAACTCTATCTTTCTTCTGTAGTTATTGGGCTTCAGGATCTGGGCTGATCCAACTCTATCGGTTCAGCTGATAAGAATCACCTGCCTTTCTGATAAAATTCCCAATTCAGCTCCTTCAATCCTTAACCCTTGCCCTTCAACTCCCAATTCTTCTTCGTTTCCTCGTCTCCCTTCTTCTCCTACTGTGACAATAACGTTCGGTGAACTATTTTTCCTCAGTGATTACTAATATTCAAATACAAAGTTTTCTATGGACTCTCCAAATACACGGACCTCCCAATTTCATGGATCTCAAAAGAAAACTGTCACCGTATTAAATTGTAATCGAGGTTATGACAACGGTATTATATTTGTGGATGTTGCGGACGTTACGATATGATTTATTTTTAAAAGATAATTACGTTTTTATGCTGTAGATGCAGTTTGCGATCTCACCGTAGCCTTGAAAAATATTATGATATTGTGAAAACAAATTTGGCCTATGATATCATATGATGATTAAAGATGATAGATGATCAAGGATGGTAGATAAAAAATAATAAATAAAGAAAAGGACAATGGGAGAAAGAGAGAAACGTATCTTGTTGGGGCTGCATGCAAGGCATAGTTGAACAAGAAAGGTTAACCTTGTGGTTCATATTTATAGATAGTTCTTATCAAACACCTGTTCTGACTTTTCTCAGTTAAAAAACGTAGCAATTTCCATAATCAAATTCCTAAAATTGGAATCTCGTACAAACAATTTAACTAATGTTCTTCTGTTTTCCTTTCACTACATTCATAACTCTGCTTTTTTATTACAGCAATCTTTGTTACTGGTTTTTTTAAAAAGCAATTCTCAAGGGGGGAAAAAGGATTTATGAAGATGATTACTTGAAATGCATTCATTAAATTTACCTCTTATAATATCTTCTCTTGCGGCCCTTGGCATTGCCGTTGTTTTATTATCCTGCGTTGTTGGAGCCTGCATCATTGCTACATCGATCGTCTTCTTGTTCGATTACATCGTCTGCGAATGTCTCAGTTGGCCGATCTTCGGGAAGTTGTTTTTCGGTATGATAAGAAGAGGGATACATAGAGTCCGGACCGTGACTTACCGTGCGATAATCGTTCACTATTTGCAACCGTTGGATACGGTGGAAGGTTCACCTGAGAGAATTCATTGCAGGCAAGTGTTGAGGAAGCGGGCCTTGGAGAAGCTATTGCCTCCGACAGTTTATGGGGTCGATAAATATCCGACGGAATCCAAAGACTGCCCGATTTGCTTGGATGAATATATGGTTGGTGAACCGTGCAGGGTTTTTCCTGGCTGTAACCACATGTTTCATTCGAGGTGCATTGATCATTGGCTCAGGAATCATGTAACATGCTCTGTGTGTAGATGTATTTAATATGCATAAACATTGCATGTATTGGTCATTAATTGTTCAGAGAAATGGGAGTTTAAAACCATTTTTCTTTTTGAAATTTTTTCATATATTCGAATACATGCATCGATACGAATACCAGTTTCGGTATACATTACTGTTTATATTACATTAGGATCAGAAACTAAACAACAGACCAGTTTACGGAATTATTTCGGAAACAGAAAGCGAAACATCTCCATGGCAAGTAGTAGTAACAAATGCTGTCTCTAGGTACTATGTTTCAATGGAGCTTGCTCCTCTGAATCCACTGGAAGTTCATCATATGTGACCGATCCCCGGAACCGCTTCGGAAGGAAACAACGACAGCCGAGGCGCTGTTGTAAGTATATGATTGCAGCAAAGAACAGGCCCAACATAGGAATAATGTAGTCCCAAGCAGTTGAGTAGTAATCTGCAGTAGGATTTGCATAAATGTATGAGTCGGCCATATCAATATAGTTGTTTGCCCTGTAGAGATCATATCCATGGGGAACCAGGCGGACGAGTGTGAATCCGATATAGAAGAATCGAGAAAGAGCCGGTTCTTTCGAGTTCAGGAACATGTTGAAGACGATTTGCGGGAAAAGAAAGGCATCAAGGATCAAACCAGCATATGCTCTAGATCCTCCCAAAATGGCCTGCTCTATGTAGGACGACGAATGCTGCTGCCTTGTGGCACCGATGATTAAACCTCCAGCTATGTATACCGGAAAGCATAAGTAGAGCCCCCTTTTTTCAGCAATCCACAAGGCCTTGTTCTTTTCTTCGGAACATCTAGCGGTCCATGAGAGCATCAGAAGACGGATATGCAGCAGAAAAGCCACCATTGTCACGGCTCTAATGATCACCTCGTTCACCTCTAGCCATATTCCGCTTCTCATCCAGACTGATCGTTCGCTGTCTTGATCGAACATCGCTTCAAGATTTAGAACCAAAGGGATTAAGTATCCGAGGGCTAGAATAACAAGCATGAGAAGTGAAACCGAAGGACAAACTCCAGGGTGCCTCCTCATATGAATGATTTGAAGTACTACGAAGACAATAGCAAGAGTGTTGGATATGACAGACATGACCATCTCGAAATCCATTCTCCAAATCGATTCTGCTGCCCAACTGCTATAATAAGCTCTTCCTGAAAACTCCAAAGGTTCGAAGTGCAGATGATCGGTTTTCTCACGAGTGCTCTTGATGATTCCCTTGATTTTGCTTCCTTTCCGGTCTGAGTTCAATGGAGGAAAATGGACATCTACGACGATACCACAGTCCGTTGATTTGTTGTGTAACCCCAAATGTCTGCAGCCAACCATGCACAGATTACCTGTATCAAGATCATAAAATCCTTCAGCAGAAATACGGATCTCCAAATATCCATTTGAAGATTGGTTAAACGGATCTAGGCCGGGAAACAATTCCGAACGAGATAGGTCGATTCTCATCGCATAGCTGATATTAAGCAAGCTGACACCAGCATCAGAACTTTTAGGCCTTGAGCTTGAAGATGGTATTAGAAAGGGAAACATCTGATGAGGCTGATCCCCGACCGCAAGAGGACTCGACGAACCCCATCCAATTCTTCCTTTAGGACCTTTGATTGTCATACTAAAAGCCATGTCTGCAGAATAACCATCCGGGTACTGTCTACTGCTGTTCCCATTGATACTCTTCTTTGGACATGACTTCTTCACTTGGTCAGTTTCCATGTATTCATACTTCAAACCTTGAAGCTGAATTCTCCCCCTGTTATTTTTGGTGTCACGGAACACGATACGATCGAAGAAACCGGATTCATTCCTAGCCTTCTCACTCCAAATTTCACCTACAAGAGTACTTGTGTTTCTGATAGACAAGATTGCAGGGAATCTTAAGCTCAACCTTGTGCTGCAGTCTCCAACATGAGACTTCTCCAATGAGCTGCTCGACGCATCCTCGATTCGACAAGCAACGATACAAAGACGATTCCGCTTTGAATCCCAAGATCCTTCTCCAATCAATGAAGTACTGAAATTGGAAGATCCAGAATACCTCATATAGGTATTATCATCAGGAAATTCTATCAGAAACCTCAAGCTTAGCACATCATCCGAGCACTGAATCATGCTCAAATACATCAACCGGGGCGAATATCCAAGGTCGTCACCAAGGGGACTGCAACTCTTTGATGAACCACAACCGCTCGAATACTCAAGTTCGAAAGCATTATCTTGAACGGAGAACATATCACAGACATGTCTAGTCCTTGATAAGCTGAGAGATGACTTCCCTGGGACATCAGTTCCACCAGGACAACCTTGATTAAAGTTTTTCGAAACCTTGGTGTATCTGTAGCTTCCTTGAGGAAACATCAACATCGATATTGGATCGAAATAATTTGGATTATCAGCAGGATACAAGCTATCCATGGTTCCAGTGATTAATGTATTGATATCACTTGTATTTTTAACGTTGTTCAACTTGAGAACAGCTCTAAGATGAAGCACTTCACCTTCCTTGGAGTAAATATAACCCAATCCCACCATGCAAAGCTTCCCGGTCGTTCTAGACCAGAAGCCATGGAAATCGAAGTCCAGAGTTCCACGAGCACTCGAATCACTCGAATACGAATAGGGGTATCTCCCATGATTGGAGAAACTCTGTTCGTAGTAGTACGAGCTTTGGAAGATCAGGTTTCCTTCCACCTTGAAGACATCCTTGACACGAGTCGTATAAACATGGTGAGTCTCGAAAACGAGTACTTTCGACACCGGTGGATAATAATACCGATCAGAGCTACGATTCAGGACATTATCGCCGCCGCTGTAGTAACCGTTTTGGCGTCCAGGAAACGGTAAGGTATGAAACTCCTCATCAATTGCTTCCGAGTCAGGAACAACCGAACCACAGTGACTGCCATAACCGAACTCAGTCGCAGTGCCATGGACTATATTAAGACACATGAAAAACATGATGATAGACAGCAAGGAAGCGCGGAAAAACAAAAGCTTTGTTGAAGTAGAGAATATGGAACAATCCATAATAACAAACAAGGCTTGATTTTTTCTTTTTCAGACAAGAAGATTGTGATGAAGAAGTTACCGCAAATTGCGAAATGGGATGAAATATATATAATTCTAAGCTCCCACTTGATGTGCTGAAGGTGGTGGTCCATGCAATTGCATGAGAAACTTCCAATTACATCCTTTTCTTTGGCACCAAAAAGACTTTTGGGATCTTACATGAATCATATCCGTTAAGTGCTTACTGTGCCTAGTCTTTAGATGGATGAAACCATTGAAACATGTTGAGGTCATTAAAAATCATTGAAAAAATGATGCATTTTTGTGGACTTTGTAATGATTCTTGGTCTTTGGTAAACTAGAAAGACAAAACATAAATGGGACCTGTCCTGCCCTATCACGCGGTGAGGCAAGTTTACCCAGTCTTCCCTCTTGCCATATCTCAAACATACAATTAAATTTTAGCCCCGTCTTGGGTTTGATTTGAAGACTTATGCTGAAGTTGACTTGATTTTGGGAGGGCAGAAAATTTCGACCATGCTTTCAGTCTGTAAAAGAAACCATTATTTACTCTATATGACATCATCGTTCTACAAAAATCAACATCGATTGCTTTTGTCCCTCATTCCCGAACATATGAAGTAAAAGGAAAATGTTTACACCATCATATAAGCCATTTTAGAAAAGCAAATTCCTAAGATTCAAACCCCAAACTCACTTCAATTAATTCCATCCAAAATAGCTTTAAAGATGTAGTTTTTAAATTTAAACTTCAATTTTTATAATTTAATATCATTTTCATATAAATTATAGAACTTTAATTTTAATTAAGTTCACCTTATATGCTTTCTTCAACTGGCATGCATTGAACATCCCGGCTTAAATAAACTCGGTTCAACCGCCTAGAACGTATATATAATTCTTATATTATCAAAAATTAATATGCTAAGCTCAAACTGTAACAGATTGAAAATACTGAAAAGAACCGATACCCCCATCTATATATGCATCAATTTACAACGTCAGAGACCATGTGAGCATCCTATGAAGAAAAGTATAGGGACACTGCTCAATTCAATTCTAAATTACTTGCTAATAACTCTATTTAAACAGGCTATGCATATTTATAAATGAAACCCTTCCTAATCCAGTTTCAAAATTTTAGTTTTAAGAAGTAGCTCACAATACCGAAACCTTGTGAACTAGACTATGTGGACTTTTGGGGACAGTAAGGAATTTCTCACAATCCTTTACTCCGATTGTCGTAAATTCTTTCACGAGCATATTTACACATCCTGCAACAGACGCCTTAAACTTACTTGAGCAGCTCTTGTCACCTTCATCGACATCTTGAACACCGCCTTTTGCCAGGCAACCTACCTGAGCACCATCCATATATGCTTTACATGCTACAAGAATATCCTGTGCACGACGGTGGAAATGACCCACAACGAAATCCTCAAAATGCTGCAGCCAATCATGGATTTATTATTATCTTAAGCAAAAAGAAAATAAATAGGTAATTTATATTATACATTCCAAAACGTCCCTAAAATCTCGTGGACATTAATGCCTTTATGCAAGTTTACACTACTGAAAACATTAAAAAAATTCCTTCAGCTAACCTTTGGCGGCCTCCTCATTGAATAGACCATTGTTTTCAGAGACAAAATGAATGTATCCTCATTGTATTGTCGGGACAATTGTGCACCTTGTTTTGTGCCTTTATGGCGAGCCCAACCAGGCTCGTTAAAGTATGGATCCTGATTCAAGATTAGAGCCTGAATAGATACCAGAACTTGGAGCATGGTAGACATACCAGGTATCCACTTCTCATTCTTATTACCGGACCAAGTGTTAAGAAGACTAAGGCATACTTTTCCACAAGCATACAAATTTGGATTGAGTCGAAGTCCACCAGAGTGGTAGTAAACATGCTGCAAAGCAATTCCTTCTAATCAGACCAAAAATATGATCATATATGATACAATCAAATTTATAAACAACAATTACATACTGGTGGGACTTTAGGATAGCTAGCAGGGAATAAAACATCAAAGAAGAAGAGACCATCATGGTAAGGAGTTCCCTCTGCTCCTATAATCACAGCCCTTAAGAGATCCATCCTTTGATTCATACACCCTAACAAAAATAGTATCTGTTGAAACAGTAATTAAGCAACAATATTATTTATACATTCCATCAGTAAAAGGGTAATTGTCACACGTAAAGTGGAAGATCTCAGCTGTTATCAACTTAATGCGCACTTTGAGTCATAATTCAATCTTGCAGTATTCCACTAAACGATGGTATTTATTTAGAAGGGGCGACAAAAGAAAGAACAAGTTATGTAAATAAAAACTCCCTCAGAGAAGAATAAAACACTTAAAACTCACCTGGTAAATCCTTCTCAAGAATTCTCCACTCCTCCTGAATCTTCTTTGCCCAGTTCTTTGGTGGCTGCCACAAAGAGAAGTGACAAAAACAAAGTTTACTGGTTGAAAACATAAGAACATAACTATAAAATAGGGAAGACCATGATAAATCTTTGAAAGCTACTCACCTGCTTTGTTGAAGATCCACTGGAAGCATAGTGATGGTCCACAAAATCTTCAACAGTATCAAACTGTTTAAAAAGTTGGAACTTACTGAAGATTTCTTCTTCATTTACATTTCTCTGGTTTTTTATACGTTCCACTTCTTGAGGGGTAATGTAAGCACCATCTACAGGGTCATGAAAACTTGAATAGATATTATGCTTACTGGGATTATATTTTGGTTTCATTTGGGGCAGCCACCAAGACTTGGATGGTTCCGCAATCATATTGTGATTTAATGCCTCTATAGGTGGAGGAACATTTGGAAACATCAAACTACTCGTACTAATTTGATTCTTTATAGACGAACTAAAGTGATCCCAGTAAGTTTGGATTTACTGCATGAGGGAGCATCAATGGATCAGTGTGGCTCCCATTACTACCGCTAGTTGAACTACTGACCTGGTAAGACTGGAATGAATTCCAAACTGGAAGATTTTGATTACTCAATTTCTGTTGTGAAGTAGCTGACTTCTTACTTTGTGAACCTTGCGAAGCTGAAAAGGTTGAAGGAACACCTGCTCCAGGAGAATGACTTGAAGGATCCGGTAGGGTCAGGAAACTTGAACTACCAACTGAAGCTGGCTTCTTGTTCATATGAGCGGACTCTGACAACCAAGATGAATGAGATTGGTCATTCCCGGTAAGACTTGATTGAGTGTTTGCATGAGAAATATTATTTTTACTCTGTGAAAAGTCTGGAAACCAAGGGACGGATGCCTCTACTCCAGCAGGAATATCAAAATTATCAAAATGTGCTTGCAACATGGCATACTCGTCAACATCCATATGATCACCAAGGTAATAGTTCTCAAAGTAATCATCATCATAGGCCAAATCACAATCTAGGTTATATACATTGTGTGATCCTTGGGTAGAATTCTTAGAAGGTTCAACATTGTTTATTGAACAAGGAGGTTTGGCCACAAAATCCTGTAGAGAAATAGGGAAACAGTAAACAACAAAATAATAGGTACAAACCCATGTTATAATTGATGTTATGCATAGTCAACAGTAACTATGGCAATAAAATCCAATCTCTCATATACCTCAGCTTGAATAGCACTATAGACACCAGGGCTACCTTTTACTGCCTTCCCTTTGTTCCTTACATCAACCATGTCATCAAGGATCACTATATCACTTGAATCTTCATCCTTATCGACATCAATTATTTCATGAATAACAACCTAGCAAGACATGAAACAGAAATTTTCTAGTAAACCATAATGAAGATTTTTCTAAAAAGTAGCAAGATTGATTGAGCAACCAGTTAAAACACATAACTTGATGAAGAATGAAAGGCTTCACTAAACATGCACTTGTCTCTATTTCTATAAAGGAAGCTAGTATGATATACAAGATGTTTCTCGGTAGAGTTCTTTTCCAGCATTCTATCCAATCTATGGCAATGATCAAATAAAAAATGACTGCCTGGTGTGCTCACTTCCACACTTCAATAGAACACAGATCATGTCATGTCATTAAACTGTTACCAAGCTATTAACAAACATTTTCAGTTTTAGAAATGAGCAATTACAGATTTTAGCACCTATTTAATTGCTTTAGTACTATCTTCTACTAAACATGAAATGAAGCCATTTTTATACCCCACCAACAAACAGCAATTCTCTATTAATTGCATAACATGGCTATAAAACACCACAATCCACACCAAAAGGAAGACGAATATTCAATGCCCCCATTTGACACTATTAGTAGTTAATCTACCAAAGGGTCTGATAAACGGTACCCAAAAAAGGGTTGGAGTGCATGGATAAACAAGAGTTCAACTGAGAACATATGCTCGTTAATCATCATCTACTTTACCGAGAACTATTACAAGGTCAAAGTCTGCTTATTTAAAATCCCTGACAGACTGATAGCGTAAAAGAAAGAACCCATCGTCCTCCCAAACTGTCCATTCCGGCCCCATGCCAGCAATGGCGCCATAAAAAATAAGGCGAGGACATCTAACAGCCACAACAATTGCCACAACTCCTATTATTATCCCCAAGACCACAGCTTCAGCACTAACAAAATTTGGTAACTTTAAACTGTTATGATGGGGAAAACGCAGTCCCAAGCCCCAGTAAGTGAAACCATACGCTTTCGTTGTAGAAATTCAAAGTTCACTCCTTTAAACCCTAAAAAGAATCAATACTAAATAATCCCGAAAATCCACAATAAACCGATCATTCAAAATTACATTAACAAAAGTGACAACCAAACGTTCACTGTATTTAATCTAATTCATAACACCCAAAAAAATAATTTTTTCAGGAAAACGATCAAAACAAGCGACAAGAACCATTTTTAAAAGAAGAAAGAAGAAAATTTCGACCTGTTTTTTCTTGTTAGACCTAAAAGAGCTAGGAACCGGAGGGGGGATCTCGATCACTTCGGGGTCCATTAAGAAAA